CTACGATCCAAACTGTTCTTAGCATTTCTCTTTACAAAAAGTGGGTGATCAACCAACTCGACATCAAAAATGCCTTTCTTCATGGGCATCTCTCTGAACAGTTTTTATGCATTAACCCCTTGGCTTTCAAGATTCTAGATTTCTTAATCATGTTTGTGGATTAAAACGGTCTGGCTTGAAATAAGCACCAAGCGCATGGTACTAATGCTTTACAGACTATGTTACCACTCTTGGTTTTTGACATAGCACATGTGATCACTCTCTATTTGTCTACCACTACGGCCCAGACACTACTGGTATGTTTTCCTGTCTTAAGAAAAATATTCCCCATTGGAATGTTCTAAAATGCATCATTTGATATGTTAAGGGCATGATGCACATGGGGTAATACACGCGTACGACTTCACCTGCCAATCTTGTTCCTACATTGATGCTGATTGTGCAGGTTGTCCGGACACTACTACAAATACAGCCTTTTACGACACGCAATGTGTGACGTAAAACGCTAAGACGACACACAAATACGTGTAAAGGAAGACCCTGTCATAACGAAAGACGACATGCTTTTGCGCGTCATCTATTTATGACACGCATTTACGACGCGCATTTACGACTCGCATTGCGTATCATTAAAGCCCCTGTCAAGAAAGGCCATGTCATAAATGAAGATGAAACACATTTTGCGTATCGTAATTTTAAATGTTTAAAAAAAATATTTATAGATTTACTAATTTTCAAATTAAATTTGTATTTAATGTCTCATAATAAAAAATAAAATATCATATACAAAAAAATACAATCCATTGTATAAAATTCAAGGTCATACAAATAATTGTTCCATTGAAAGATAAAACAAATCAATAGAAGTTGTAACAAAAATTTACAAACTAATTAGATACAAGAAATATGAAAAACTTCAAATCCCTAAGATTAATAGTTCTAACAAAAGCTTCACATGAGATACATACAGTTAGACCAGTAAGCAAGGATGTTCCCGAATCGACAGTAGCAACACTAGAACACGTACATGATATCTTCTGCTAGAATTCACAACTATAGTTGCAGCCTTGATCCTTCTGCTTCTGATGAACTCATCTCTTGCAACCATTGCTCTAAGCCTAGTCTGAATAGATACAACAGCTCCTTGTAAATGCTTGTATGATGTTCTTCCTGCACCTCCTTAAATACTTTTAAAGGTCATGAAAAAGTTAACTGCCAAGGGCAAACAGTGGCGGATCCAGCCCGCAAGTCAAGTGGGGTGCACGTTGATCGTTGACCATTGACAATTGAACATTAAACATACATCCACGAAAGGGTATTTACGTCCTTTCCCACCTCTTGTGAATCCCTGCATACAAATTTCAAAAACAGTTAACAATAATGTTGAGACCCATTTTTATAACGAACGGTGAGTACGGAAGAAAGATATCTCGAGATTAATCGTGTTTTTGGAAGTATGAACACGAAGAACATATTATGAGTTCGTTGAAGAAGACTAATAACAAGAGAGAATAATAATAATATTGCATGAAGAACATGGTAGGAGAGAAACTCTCCCTAGGTGGGAGAACCCACCAACTTTCTCTCTCTAGAGATTACATTGTAAGAAGTGTAACTCTAACTAAGGAAAAGATAAGCTATCTAAAGTAATAAATGACCAACTCTCCCTTTATATAGGAGGGAGAGTATTTACACCTAAAATACAATAAAGGGAAAATACAACCTAATAAACACTCATTATTTGTGGAGCATTTCCATGCACCAACATTCTCTCCCTAAATGCTTACAAATGATGAGAGATACAATAAGTGATACAAGGCTATAATACAGTAATCCGACTAGCAAGTGTGGTAATAAAATGAAACCAAGTGCTGAAATGTCTCTGAAACTCTGAAGTGTCTGTGAAGTCTGAAACTGGCCATGAATCTCTAACAATAAAGGTCTTCGGCACATTGCCAAAAATGTGAGTCCAAAAACATGGTCCAACAATGCCGAAAATTTGATCCAAGGACCAAAAATAAGTGTCACGTCACATTGCCAAAATAATCTTTGTCTTCAACATATCACAAATCCAAACTCGTGAAACCATAAGATCTGTACTGGATGCAAACACAAAATCATCCTGTGGTAGAGTCCGAATAATAAATAATCTGAATCGGAAAACATCGAGTAATGCCAAAAATTTGATCCGTAAAGACCAAAAAGAAGTGCCACATCGCATCACTAAATAAATAATCGTCTTCAAAAGTCTTCAAAATTCCAAACTCAAACAATCATAATAACCAAATCCGGATGATATTCTCTCCCTATTTTTGATAACCAATGACCGGATATCAAAAATCAACAAATCATCGGATGGAGAGTGTCGGATACCAAGAGCTAATAGAGAAGCTCTCCCTAGATGTATGAAGGGTCTCGATAAGAAACGAGAAAGAGTAAAGGAGATACTCTTGAGGTCATGAGGAGGCGGGTGACATAGTTGCTGAAGCTGTGCTGAGAATAATCTGTTGTGCCAAAAATATATCCAAATATCCAAACTGCGGTGCCGGAACACTTGAAGTGGTCTTCAATAGATAATAAAGTCCACATGCTCAAGATACATGATTCGTCAACCAAAAAATCAAGAGCGACAAGTCATAAAATCTCATAAAGTGAAGAATGCGAAACAACTTTGTTGATCAATCGCTGTTGCGATGCAAGCATCACCAAAAATAATATGAAGTCCAACTGCGGTAGGAATATTCTTCCAATAATAACCGGCATGAAATGAACCAATGTGACAATCCAAGGTTCGGTTGTGGCAAAAATTGGTGTTAAAAAAAATAATTGGTGTAAAAAAAATAATTGGTTTTAATAAAAAAATGGCTAAATAAAAATAATTGGCAAAAAAAAATTGGCTAAATAAAAAAATTGGCTGAAAAAAAAAATTAATTGAAGAAAAAAAAAATAATGCAGAAAAAAAATATGAATAAAAAAAATAAAGTCTTGAAAAAAAGAGAGTTTTAAAAAAAAGGAGGGGAAAAAAAGGAGGGGAGGGGAGGAAAAAGGAGGAGGAAAGGAGGGGGATGAGGAGGAGGAAGGGGGAGCTGAAGGAAGAAGGAGGAGGGGAGGGGAGGAGGCTGCTGATGGTCTAAGGAGTTGCGGATGAGAGGAGGGAGGCGGAGTGAGTGGCTGCGGGTCATGGTTGGTTGCGGATGGAGGTGATTGCGGACGAAGTGGGTGCGGTGGAAGGGGGATCTTGGGTGCGGACGGGCTAGGCTGACTGCGGTAGGCGAGGAGGCAATGGACTTCGGATGCGAGCCTGCAGTGGAACGCCCGCGGTGCGAGCCTGCAGTGGAGCGCCTGCGGTCCGAACCGAGAAGGGAGCCTGCGGTCTGAGGCTGCGGTCCGAGCAAGAAGACTTCGGTCCGGAAGAAGTGAATGGCTACAGTAGGGAGTCCGGACTTCGGTCTATCAGCAAGGGGGGTTTAGGCTGCGGTCAAGAGGCTTCGGATCAAGGCTTAAGAGGGGCTGCGGGTAGGCTTCTAAGGGGACTCCGGTAGGCAGTTTTTGGCTGCGGTCCGGGGGGCTGAGAGGGGCTGAACAGATGACGAAAAATACTATTTTTTCATGAAAAATGGTACCGCAAAGGCCATTCATTCATATTTTAATGAGGGAATCTTTTTATAAAGCATTCTAAGTCAAAGGTGGGTCTTGGGAAGGCAAAAAGAAGAGTGTGTAGGGGTTTTTTAGGGACAAAAGGTGATGGGAAAGGACAATGTCACATGGTTTTTGTCTTTTTGAGGGAGCAAATAGTGGAATACTCTTTACCCAAAAGAGTAACAAGGACAATTGACTTTTTGCAAACAAATTATCACGTCCAAACAATTCAATTTGAGATCTACAGCAACTAATACATGAGAATTAAAAATCTTCATACCTCATGATGATGAAAGTTGCTGGGAAAGAAAAATCTTTAAAAAGAAATGTTTTTCTCCACTTTCTTCAAGAAAAATAAGCCCATAATCTTGTGTCTTCTCATCCAAGGAAAAATAACTCCCTGGAATACATCTTCAACCTTTTTAAGAGACCACAAAATTAATTTCTTCTCCCATTTTTTTTCTTCATTTCTTCAACAGCAAAATAATAATAACTTTTAAGAACATCTTCTTCCAGCAATAAATAGAACGAGCAGCAGCAGCAACAATTTATTTATTACTAAGATTTGAGTCAACCCGGAAGATAGAACTAAGAACGAACTTCATAAAAAAAATTCCGGTAAGAAACCCGAAAATTTTTCCTTGCAGAAACACGGAAAAATCACAAGATAATCACCGAACGGGAGTCGTTCCCTTGAACTAATCGTGAGATCTTCAAGGTACGGCTCTGATACCAATTGTTGAGACCCATTTTTATAACGAACGGTGAGTGCGGAAGAAAGATATCTCGAGATTAATCGTGTTTTTGGAAGTATGAACACGAAGAACATATTATGAGTTCGTTGAAGAAGACTAATAACAAGAGAGAATAATAATAATATTGCATGAAGAACATGATAGGAGAGAAACTCTCCCTGGGTGGGAGAACCCACCAACTTTCTCTCTCTAGAGATTACATTGTAAGAAGTGTAACTCTAACTAAGGAAAAGATAAGCTAGCTAAAGTAATAAATGACCAACTCTCCCTTTATATAGGAGGGAGAGTATTTACACCTAAAATACAATAAAGGGAAAATACAACCTAATAAACACTCATTATTTGTGGAGCATTACCATGCACCAACAAGTAAAATGACATAATTTAATAAAAAACGAAAAACTTGTAAAGCATCTTCCCACGTGACTCTTAATTATGTGGCTAACACTCTAACAGATGTAACTAAACATGACCAGGTCTGTACACTACTAGAAAAAGCGTAATATAATACGGCTGAAAGTATGAATATAGTACATACATAGAGGGCATATTAGTAGAGGGGTGTATTAGATTACATGCCTAATAGAGTACGACTATTTAACCGTACTCTATATGTATCCTAGTATTACAACCATCGCATAAAAGAATCTAATACACCAGATATTAGCATCTAATACACCCTAAACAACCGTACTTGATGTCACATCCCCTATTCCTGCATTCCAGCCCATTCCGGCTGTGCATTCCAGCATTATTCATCACCCAATTTCACTCCATGAATGTTGTTGTGGAACACATGGATCGTCATTCCCACTTAAAAGAACTCTTCAATTTCTGCAAAGCTTTTACTACAACATAAAGAAAGAATTTTTACTTCATAAGAATCCTTTTCAAAGCTGCAAATTCCTAGAAATGTTAAAAAAGTACCTTCATCAATTGAAGTATTGGCCTCAGCTCTAACAATTTCAAAGATCTCTATGGTCTCTATGACACTGATTACGGTATGACTGGTATGACTACCTTTTACAAGCTGCAAAATTATTCACAAACTCCTCCCACTAACATGGACTGTTGTATTCAGCACAAGAGCACTATTAATATCTCCACTCATTTTGACAATATCAATCTCTTGAAAAATGTTATCACCATTTATAATGATGTCAAAAACTCATTGTCCCTCCCGTGTGAGTTGTGACTGGAGGATCAATCTCTACAAATTACAAAGTAGTTGATAAATTTTTCAAAGGATAATGTCAAAAACTCATTGTCTCTGTTAGTGTATACTAATTAAAGATAGCCTTCACCATGTTAACTGATTCCAAATTTATTAATCATATATGATATTTACTAAAAAAAGGTATGAAATGAAACCAAATAACTAGTTAATAAGAACATCACAATAGGATCTTTTTCATGTAAAAAAAACTCAAGAAAATTGAAGAAGTTATTGGATGATCTTTTTCAAAGATCTTGTTAATTAACAAGCTTTCAATGATTTGGTGGATCCATGGGTTTTCAACCAATTGTATATAGACAACATATACAAGGGTCCCACAAATAACAAACTAAAATAACATTTCGATTGTAGAGATAAAATGAGCTTTTTCATTTAAAGTCTTATAATGAAAATATTCCACCAAAAAGCTCTCTTGTTATAGATGTTCGGTAAAAAATATACCTGCCAACATCATCGGCTATAACCAAACAAGAATTTACTCTGAGACAAGGCAAAGAAGCTGATGTCTTCAACATTTTAGGAGCTTCCACTATGATGGTTGTTGACCCAATCTTTAGTGATTCAAATGCTTTTGATGTGAGCCCTGTTTCTGCTGGTGGCTCTTTTGATGAACACATGATTCTATGAAAAAAACTCTGATTATTTTGGATGCTCCTGTACTATTCAAGAAACCATAGCCATCATTCAGTTCTAGAATGTTGAAATCAACATTCAAATTTTAGTTATGCACTAAGATAAACAAAGTTAACTCCAAGGGGTCTATACCACATTACCAACAACAATCTCCATTTTAACAATTTTAACATTAATCAAACCAAATAAGGATATCAAAGCAAGTGGCAGATGTAACACCAATCTCATTATCCATTGAAAATCATTAGAATGAGAATACTCTCGTTCGTAATCAATATAATCAATTATTATTATCTAGAAGATACGTAGATTCATACCAATCTCAGTTTGGCATCAGCTTGTTCGTTTCAGTTAATTATTTCAATTTATAAAAAGACATAGGTTATATTCAAACCATAGTGAAAACATGTAGCTAAAACACAAAATTTGCAACTGGTCATGTAAAATGATGCTAAGAAAATCAAAAAATTAGGAACAAAGTTAAGAATGAACACCTTCTTTCTCTCCATAAATCCAAAGGAAGAAATGTTGCTAAAGGAGAGGGGATTTGAAGTTGAGGAGATTGGAATCGTTATTGAAATGTGCAGAGATGAAGCAGACGACATGGGAAATAGTTACGAAAGGTTCTCAGATGAAGGCCGGAGATGAGGGTGAGAAACTTGAGCTGCAAAGAACGAACTAGAGAAAGAAACATAAGTTTCACGCATATACAGTTCCCAATGTACTCCAATAAACGGAAATCAGATAACCAAATATGCAATAGAATGAACAGTTTGAACACTAAATTAACTCTATCAATTGCTAATGTATTGTGACACTAATTAAACAATTGATTAGAAAGAATACCTGGTTGTTCAATACTGAAGATTCGACGAATTTAATCTGAAATCGATTTTGAATTGGTGGTGAAGATACACGAATCTGAAATCGATTTTGAATCAGCGGTGAAGATACACGAATCTGAAATCGATTTTGAATCGGCGATGAAGAGACACTGAATTAGCTGGATTGACGATGAGTTTTGAAGAGGTGCTCGTCGGTGAAGAGAGGTGATGGAGTATGTCGATCGAGAGAGAGAGAGAGAGAGATCAATTTCGTAGTTGATGTTGTCGTTCATCGATCGATGCTTTGATAAGTAAGCCGCTTGACCAGAAAAGAGTGAAGACGATTTACAGGGGCAAAATGGGAAAAATACAAATGAACAGTCAATTCAATTTTGACGTTGCGTCAAATGAACATCCAGTGTTTTGTTAAACATTCTGGTCGATGCAGAGGCTAAAGTTTGTTAATAATCGTAAAAATACAAATTTTAATTGGAAATATTATCTATTATTATCTAGTACGCCTAATAACTGTAAAAATACAAATTTTAATTGGAAATATTATCTATTATTATCTAGTACGCCTAATAACCGTATTAGATTTCTTGATTTGTATGTATTAGATTAATTTAGCCTTTTATAATACTGTTTTCTTTACAGCCGTATTAGATGTGGGTGTACTATATTACCTATTTTCCAGCAGTGGTATGAAAAAAAACAAACAAAAACAAAACTAAAAGTAGAAGTTTACCTCTTCTTTACATGTTCTGAATTTTGTGCACTGCAGTGGAAGTTCCTATATGTATAGTGCATCTCATTAAGTCACTAATTTTATATATATATATATATATATATGCTGTTTAACGCAATTGATAAATATGAATCTTTACCTACCTAAAAATATAAGATTATCCGACTCTTGTAAAAAGAAGAAGAAAGAGTTGTACTTACCTAGATCTAATGGATCCCCAAAAGCTAGCCTTCAATTGAGAAACTTTAAGCTAGCCTTCAACTGAGAAACTTTGACTACTCTGTTCCCTATAACAAGTTACATATGTAAATGAAATGATACCAGGGTAAATATCAATTGTGATTACCATCTGAATATGAGAAGTTTGCAGTTTTTCTATGCATAGTGGAAAGCTCAAGGAAAACCAAAAACAGTGACTATAGCTATGAACAAAGCTAATATCAATTGTGATTACCATCAAAGATGACAACCTAGAAGCCATATGCACACTAATCTAAACATATTAGAATATGAGAGTCAGCAAGATGACTACATTGTATTTTGGGAGATATATAATAAACCTCAGTTAGAATAAATAATAACACACTACATTTGTCATTTATTGAACTAAAAAGAGAGAGAGAGAGAGAGAGAGAGAGAGAGAGAGAAGACATACAAATACATAGCCTGCATTTTGGGAGCATGTTGTTTTAAATAAGAGTTGACCAAATCTGCAGGGATGTTTCCGGCCAAAAACAGGTCAATGGTTTGACTTGGACAGCTTTCAAGAACATGCATTTAGAATTCCAGAACAAGCATAGGATCGGGCCCACATAGAGGCTGCAAAATACACAATACAAAATTTTATAAAAAGAGTCAAATATGTTTACGGAATGATTAAAAAGTTAACAACTTACTTTGAGATATTCAGTTATCATCTCAGGTATGAACTTTTGATCTGATTTTGACTCGTTGACTAGATTATGGAGAAGCTTGAGAGCTTCACGATGCATGGAGTTCTATTTGAGGTCACACCATGATCTAGCCTACAACTCTACACATATCTTATCTCCCAAAAAGAAGCATAAATTGGAATATCCTATATCCAAGATGAATCCCATAGATGAAGAGAAGAACTGGCTAAATCTTAACGTGGGACAAAACTTTGAAGATTCTTATCCAATATCAAAACCATTCTCAGTGAAGATATACCACTTCTGCAAGAGGAAGTTCTACAGCCCACAAGCACTTGGGGGTCATCAAAATGCTCACAAAAGGGAGAGAGATGCAGCCAGAAGATACCACTCGCTTAACATGGACACCAAGTTACCAATTCATCGAACACTTGGTATTCATACCCACTCAGTTCCACATAAACCAAACATAAATGAAGGGGGGCAAATCATTAGATCATATATATCAACAGATTTATAATAATCACTTACTTGTCCAGAAAGCATAGATATATATATTATGATTATCACACATGATGTTGAGATTACTGAAAATAAATAAAGTAAAGCTTACAGTTAACATGGTATCAGGCAGGGAGTTTAAGCTTCTGGGTCTTGTGGAAGACGATGGGAAGCCTTTGACTAATGATGTTTGGATCATTGTATGAGGCAGAATCAGAAGGATATCCTTTCTGCACAGTTTATTGCTTATCTTAAAAGCTAAATTCAATAAAAAAATCATAAACTTAAAGTTGCATAATTATATTTAAATAACAAACAGAAAAAAAAAAACTCAATCCCTGTGGTTATAGTTTTTTGGTCGTCTGGAGCTCATTTAGGTCTTTTAATTGAAATTCAATAAACTCCTCTCTCATTTGAAATCAAATTTGTATTCTGATTTTCTATTTCTATCAGTTTGTATGTATGAGTTTTATCATTTGTCTCTATTTTATGAATTTCGTCTTCCAGCTTAAAAGAGTTATTGCATTTACTAAGGGTTTGTAATGTTATAAAATTGGGTTTTGATTACGAATCTTGCAACTTCTTGTTTGTCAACTCTTCTCTTTTTTAACTTCATGTTTAAAACATGGAAGTTATCCAAAAGTTTTTTGGTCTGCATCTCTTGGTTCCTATCCCATGCCTCTACCTCTCAGCCTAAGAAGATAGCATGCAAAACAAATGAAAGAATGACATAATTTCTAATTCTAGAAACATTGATAGGTGGACTTTTACACTGGTTATCTTCTATTTTGCGGTATATCTTTTTCTCCTCTTAAGTTGTTGCTTTTTATAGTTATATCACATAAACCGATTCACATTAGAAAACTTTACATTTTATATTTTTAACTTCAAATGACATGAAGCTCATGAATTTTAACCTGTCTGTTCTTACAAATGTCCTCAAGTTGTTTTGCCGTTTGGATCAGTGTTTTCAGTCTACGGATTGATAAAAGTTCTAACTTCCAGCAAATGGTAATCTAGTTGTCTGCCAATAATGTAATCATGTGAATAATTATATTACATTTGAAAATCTTACACATATCATTCTACAGTCCAAACACAAACATGCACACATGCTCCTTTATAGCTAGGTAACAACGAAAATGTGACTCTCACATACTTCGATGATGGATTATACTCTTGTGAGTCTATCAATTCTGTAAAAAACAATCAATACAAAATCAAAGACAAAACCTAATTACCTAACTACAAAGATTTTGGGAAATTTGAACTATATCGTGACTTTTGTAAAGAACTTGTTGTGGACAAGTCTCCACATGAGGATAGATTAACGAAGAGCCTTGTATGAGAAAGGAAAAAGCATGCATAAGTTCAAACTGCTGGAAGTGACCTTCCAGGAAACAATTTGAGCTGATAAATTAATGAGTAGTCTAAAAGTAGTGGGAGTTTACAAAACAAAGGAAGTTTAGAAAGTAGCACCTTGGCCTCATACATGCATAAGTTCAAACTCCCCTCCCAAACACGCACCTTGTCCTCAAGGTGAAACCCAGGAAAACGCAAATCGAAATCAGTAAAACTTTCCCAGGTGGCCTCATACATGGGTAAATCCTTCCAACGAATTAAAACCTCATGCCCCATGGCCCCATTACGAATTCCCTCCACCTGATCAGGTTACAACAATACTTCCATGTCCTGGGTCAAAGTTGCGGGTAACTGTGGACTAGCCTCTTGAGAACCAATTGCCTTACGTAACTGTGAGAAATGGAAGACGTTATGAATGCGAGCAGAAGGGGGCAGCTGTAATTTATACGCGACCTTTCCTATACGTGCCAATATTTCAAAAGGACCAAAACAGCGAGGTGCCAACTTTTCATTTACACATCTTGCCACAGAATGCTGACGGTAAGGCCGTAACTTTAAGAAAACCCGATCTCCAATCTCAAATTCCACCTCCCTCCGATGCTTGTCAGCTTGGTTTTTCATGAGTTGTTGAGCTTTTAGTAAATCCCCTCGTAACCCTAACAAAACACGGTCCCGTTCCTGAAGGTATTGATCAATCGTACCCACCGGAGTTCGTTGATTTCCGAAATGCAACAAGTGCGATGGAAGTGTGAAAATTGGTATTGTACCGGTACTCTGCCCATGGTAACCAACGAACCCATTGTTTTGGAGAAGAAGAAACAAAACAACGAAGGAAAGTTTCTAAGCAGCGATTGACAACCTCCGTCTGCCCATCCGTTTGTGGATGGTAAGCTGTGCTACGTTTCATTTGAGTACCCTTCAAACGAAAATGTTCTCGCCAAAATAAATTTAAAAAAACCTTGTCGCGATCAGACACTATCGACTCCGGAAACCCATGAAGACGAACGACCTCTCGAAGGAAAACAGTGGCAACCGTTAGGGCTGTATACGGATGCTTTAATGGCACAAAATGTGCATATTTACTTAAACGATCAACGACCACGAAGATGACCGTGAATCCACTTGACTTAGGCAAGCCATCGATGAAATCCATAGTCACCTCGGACCAAACTTTATTTGGTAATTCCAGGGTTGTAATAAACCACCGGGGGCCATGGTAGAATATTTTTGGCGTTGACAAACATCACACTCAGCAACAAATTTTGCCACATCACTCTTCATTCCCGTCCAATATACTTCCCGAACCATGCGCTGGTACGTCTTTTGCACACCCGAATGCCCCCCAACTACACTATTATGGAATTCAAGGAATAGTTTTGGAATCCAGCTAGACTGTCGATTAAGAACCAAACGACCCATATACAACAATCGGTTGTTTTCGATGGTGTAACCCAACGGCACCGGCTGCCCCGTCGTAATTTTGTGCTTGATGTTCGTAAGTTCTTCATCGGTTTCCACTTCCCTCCATAGTTGGTCCCAATCAATTCTACATACAGATGTTAGAGCTCCGAGCTGAACCGATACATCTCTGCGTGAAAGTGCATCTGTCACACTGTTGTCTTTCCCAGGTTGATAAACAATATCGAAATTATACCCTAATACTTTCGATAACCACTTTTGATGATCTTCTACGATCGTTCGTTGTTCCAATAAATATTTGAGACTGCGCTGATCCGTCCGTACTAGAAACTTCCTTCCGAGTAAGTAGGGCCGCCACTTTTGAATCACAAAAACAATCGCCATTAATTCCCATTCATAAACCGATTTCATTCTAGCACGAGTACCCAACGTATGACTATAAAAAGCTATTGGTCTATTCTCTTGCATTAAAACTGCCCCAAGACCGACCCCCGACGCATCAGTTTCTATAACAAATTTTTTGCTAAAATCGGGAAAAGCCAAAACCGAACCTGAGTCATGGTCTGTTGTAGCAGCCGAAAAGCTCTGGTGGCTTCTTTAGTCCACTTGAAACTATCTTTCTTCAATTGTTCGGTTAACGACCCAGCTATGTTGCTATATCCCTTCACGAATTTTCTGTAGTAACCCGTCAACCCCAAAAACCCTCGCAATTCTCGTAAATTAGTAGGTACTGGCCACGTCAACATAGCATCAATTTTAGATGGGTCTGCCGTAAATCCCTTCAGCAGAAACTATGTGCCCCAAATACTCTATTTTTCGTTGTGCAATTGCACATTTTTTCTGATTCGCATACAGTTGGTTTTTTTGTAATATCTCCAGCACAATTGTTAAATGCTCGACATGCTCCGCCTCTGTTTTGCTATAAACAAGTATATCATCAAAAAAAACTAACACAAAGCGGCGTAAGAAAGTTTGAAAAACCTTATTCATCAAGGATTGGAAAGTAGCAAGTGCGTTAGTTAAACCGAACGGCATGACCAAAAATTCGTAATGCCCTTCGTGAGTACGAAAAACTGTTTTTGGAACATCTTGGGCCTTCACGCATATCTGATGATACCCTGATTTTAAATCGAACTTAGAAAAAATAGTAGCTCCATGTAATTCATTGAGCAACTCGTCAATGAGCGGAATAGGAAACTTATCAAGAACGGTCGCTTTATTAAGCGCCCGGTAGTCAACGCAAAACCTCTAACTACCATCTTTCTTTTTCACTAATAATATCGGGCTAGAGAAAGGACTCGTACTTGGCTGAATTATACCAGCATGGAGCATCTCGTAGACTAGTTTCTCAATTTCGTCCTTTTGTGTGTGAGGGTAGCGATAAGGACGTACACTAATTGGAGCGGTGCCTTCGTGGAGAGTGATCGCGTGTTCATGGCTGCGATGAGGAGGTAAACCAACCGGCATATGAAAAACAGGCTCGAATCTCTCAAGTACTTTCTGAATGGCTGATGGAGGCAGTGGGTTTGGTGAGGAAGTCTCGGTTGCATTCATGTGGACTAGAAAACCTGTGTCCTCATTTTGAAATAACTTAAGCATGGATTTACATGAAACCATCGTCTTTGCTAAGCTTGGATATCCAGTAATAGTAATTTGGCGATTTCCGACCCAAAACTTCATCCACAATTCCTTCCAATTCACAGTCATGTCGCCTAGTGTTTGCAACCAAGTAATACCCAAAATAATATCAGACCCTCCCAAATTAAGTGGGTAAAATTCTTCAATTATTTGTAGTTCTGGTAGGTTTAGTATGACTCCCTGGCATGTTTCTTGAGTCTACTCCCACATGCCATTACCTAGTCGCACCCGTACCGTATCGTCTCTCGAGATCGTCATTCCCAATTTATCGATCACTTGTTTAGAAATAAAGATGTGAGTTGCTCCACTGTCAATTAAGACTAGGACCGGTAACCCTCCAATGTAACCCTTAACCTTCACGGTTTGAGGCGGTGTAAGCGTACTAACTGAATTAAGGGATACCTCGATTTCATCAAGGTGGGCGTGCTCCGTTTTATCTTCTTCGTTGTTTTCCTCCTCCTGTTCAGCGACTATTAGCACTTGTAAGGACTTACTTGGACAGCGATGGCCCGGAGAGAACTTCCCATCACAACGGAAACAAATACCCTTGGATCTTTTTTCAGCATATTCGGCCTCTGTCAGACGTTTGAATTGCCCATTGGTCCCTGTCGTTTTGGCACTAGATGTGGTGAGAACCTTGTTGCTTGTGTTAGTGACCCCACCCGATCGACTTGAACCGTTATTAGAAAAACAGGTTACCCCACTTCCCGACTTGGGTATTCCAATGCTGAAACGATTTTCATTGATCGAGACAACGAGTGACATTGCCCTGGTCAGATTTGACGGCTGTAGGATACGCACGGCTGAACGTGTATCTTCCTTGAGGCCATTGATGAATGTGCCTTCTAGAACACTTTCAGGTATGTCACCCAGTTGACATGATAACCGTTCAAAATTGCTCACATAATCCCGAACAGTTCCTTCCTGCCTAATTGCAAGAAATTGCTGGTACGAATTACCATTCTCGGTTGTTTGGAAACGCTCCAGAAGTCGTTCCTTCAAGTCTTCCCAAGAGTGGAATGGAGTTCTTGATTGACTCCAATGATACCAGGCTAATGCCCTGACGTCCAAGCAAATTGTTGTTGTCTTCATTCGATCACACACTCCGATGTCTTGGACTTCGAAGAACCTTTCTGCCTTGTAAATCCATCCAAATGCGTCTTCACCCTCGAAAATTGGGGCCTTAAGTTTTCGATAATCTCCTATGTGTCGACTTCCCCCTCTGTTTTTGTCATCCTTTGGCCCTTTTTTGAAGGATCCAAACTCGAGAACAAGGTCGTCTTCTTCTTTGTTTTCCCCCAGATCGTTAGGATTACTTTTCCCCTTGATAGTCTTTGTCAAATTACTAATAGCTTGCAACACCTCTGCGAATTGTTCAACATTCTCCTTCCTAGTGCGTTCAGCTTCTTCCCGAATTTTGGTTACATCTTGCTCCAAACCTGAAACACCCGCCTCAAGCCCAGCGATTTTCTCAGCATTTGATGGTCTGATATCCAAGTGTCATGGGCTACCCCCATGGTCTTTACCTGGAATGTCATGGGCTACCTCCATGGTCTGATATCCAAGTGACATGGGCTACCCCCATGGTCTTCACATAAGTGCCATGGGCTACCCCCGGGGTCTTGATACAGTCAATGCATAACAACTAACAATCCACATATCAGATAATGGGCCGGCATTGGTACCTTCGACCCATTGATATAGTGATAAGACTCACCTCATTCTACTGATAAAAATACTGCTCGGCTACCGGTCCGGAAATCTCACACTGAATATACACAAATTAACCTAATTAGAATTAAGTCACAACTCAAGGAATAGGCCAAAACCCTAAGTCCAAACTCCTCCAATAAGGCCCAAAAGTCTTTCTACATTAATGGGCCTAACAACCAAGGTCAAAGAACAATAATGGGCCACAAGGCCCAATAGGCCCAACCATGCCATCAATGGATCAATAACAAGTTCAAGGGCCCAATTACTCTAATAGATCCAGGCCCAAGGCTAAGTAGGGTCCAAATGGCTCAAAATCCCAATGAAAGTCCAAAATCCACTAGAAGCGTACGCCCAACGTACAACCTCAGTATGCTTAGCGTACTAGATTCTTTGGTGGTACGCGCAACATACAAGATAGTACACCCATCATACAAGCAGTTTTTGCACATAAAGCCATTAAGTGCTTAATTCATGTAGCTACTTTGTCCAAATCCAGATCTTGGTCATTTTAAAGGTCCTAGGGCATAAAGTTGGCAACTTTATGCCTTTGCATGCCATATGGGAACCCAACACCTTATTTTATCTATTAAGACTCCCTTTAAGATCTTAAACTTATGCATGGTGCCATAACAACCATCAAGTTAGCATTTTTATGCTTTTAACATGCCAAAGGAACTCATATCTAACATTCCTAGCCTCTGGAGTTGCTCAAACTCACAAGAGAGGATCTATGGACCAAAAATGGACTTATTACCAAACCCTAACTCAAACTAGCAAAAGGATAAGCAAGGTCTAGACTTTTTACCTCCAAAAGTTCCCCAAGATGAAGTAGATGCAGGATCTAGAAGCTCAACCACGTCCAAGACTTGACCATCACCTTCCCCTTCTTGAAAACCCACTAAAATGGCTTCCAAAATCACTTTTGAGCTCAAGAATCACACACTCTTGCAAACTAGGGTTTAGGGACGATAAGAGGTAATGGAGGCTGTTTAGGGTTAGGTCCAAATGGCATAAGAGTGCTTAACTAGGGTTCATGGACCAAAGATTAGGGTTTTGTATTAAGCCACGTACTCCCCACTTACGCCTTAGTACGCCCCGCGTACGTGGTGCATGTCCGCGTCCAAACCACCCTAGTATGCTAAGCATACGCATATGTACCCCCAGCATACGTAGGGACCTCCTTTGCAAAAATAATTTCATTCCAAGGGTTAAAGGGTAAATACCTGCATTCCGAATGTTACAATCAGATGAGGGTCAGAGAGGAGGATGTGCAGAAGACGACCTTTCAGACTCGTTATGGTCATTACGAGTTCGTGGTGATGCCCTTTGGGCTCACCAATGCTCCAGCCGCATTCATAGACCTCATGAACTGCATATACAGGTCGTTGCAGGATCGGTCTATGATTGTATTCATTGATGACATCCTGGTGTATTCTAAGACCCAGGAGTTTCATGAGGAGCACTTGAGGGAGGTA